GGGGTGGGGGGGAAGAAAAAAGAGATAAAGAATAGAGAAATAGAGATCACTGGTCCGGTTTCCTGCATTGGTCCTGTCTGAGTTCGTCGGGGATGCATCCATCTTCTTCCCATCTTTGTTCTTTCTATATTTCCCTCCTCACCCCTCCTCAATTTGTACACACATTTTTGGGCCCTGTTCCCTAGGTCGACCCACATCCCTACGTACCCCAGATACGGGGAGGCGTAAGGTTGTCATCAAGCGCTTCATGGGGTGATGTAATCCGCACGATCTTGTTAATCTTTATTAGCATATTCACGGGTGTCAACTTCAATAAGCATTTCATGGATAACGAAGCAAAAGTCATTCACCACACTATCACCCCGTGACTGGAGTTTTGTTACTCGCGAGAGTTTGAGACATTCCTTGGCTCCTTGGGCCTCTGCTCCCTCTCCTCCCTTATCTCTCTCGGGCTGTTTTTCCCTCCCCACCTGTTTCTCTCAGGCCCTGTGTCACGGAGTTACAAGTCGTCCCTCCCAGCGTAGCGCAAACTCCACGGATGGGGTTTCATTTTTAGACCTCTGAGAAGGTGAGCGGTGGCCCCATCTTCGGAAAAAAAAACCTCTGCGTTGGTTTTTCAGGGACAGCCATAGCGGGAGCTCAGACCAGGGCTCGATTTGCAGAGCAATTAAACCCAGTTTTCCTCAGCTGGATGTTTGCAGTGCAGTATGTCCCTCACTTCCTTGATCAGAGCTGCGTTCCCGTGTTGAATAGCCATTTCTTTCCATCAATTTTCCTTTTTTTTTTTTTTTTTTTTTCTATTAAGGAAGGCAAAGAACCAATATTCTATAGACCTTATAAAGTGTTAAAATACAAGTGTTTTTCATAACACTTGCAGCATTCCCAGTGGGCCCCATTACTTGAATTAGGCTTTTTCAAGTAAAAATAATAAAAAAAAACCCCAAACCCTGTAGACAAACAAGCCTCAAACTGAAGTTTGATAAGTAATCATACCTTGCAGGCTACCAACTACATAAATAAGTAATGCTTAATGAGCCAAATGAATTTTAAAGTGGTTTTTTTTGGTGGTTTGTTGTTTGTTTTGTTTTGTTGTTTTTTTTTTTTTAGGGAACGGGCAGTCAACACGTCTCAATCTGGGACGCTTCAACTTACCGTGGGTAACCTGAAACCGGAGGAGACTTACACCTTCCGAGTGGTGGCGTACAACGAGTGGGGACCAGGAGAGAGCTCGCAGCCCGTCAAGGTCGCCACGCAGCCGGAGTGTGAGTATGAGCAGGACTGGGGTTCTCAGAGCGCGTCGCTCGATGGTTTTTTACGTAGATCCTCGTTGAAAATATGGCCCATTCCTTATGCTCCGTAAAGAAAAACTTTGGGCCGATTTGTTATATTTCTTGCAGAGCGTTTTGCTCCTCGACGGTAACACGTTGCTTGTTTGTGTCATGACTTTGATGATCGCACGTTCCGCCTTCGATTGTGGGACAGCAGAAGGGATATCAAAAGCTGTGCTTATGGCACAGAAGGTGTTGCTTTTTCCCAAGGGAAAAAAACCAATAAAATTCCTGTAAAATACAAAAATTTACCCCCGGAGTAAGCAGTGTGGCTTGTTGGTGTTTAAAAGCCCCTATTTTCTATTAATGTTTAACGGTAAATACGTTTTATAAATACTTCGGAGCAGGTGGAATCTTTCAGTGGACACTTCTTCTGTGTGTCTCATTTTATTGTAAGGTCTTGCACGCATCTGGTCTCCAGAAAGAAGATCAATTTCTTCTGGCTGAGTTTGTCTTATTGCAGTTTTTCTCACATGGAAGGTCCAAGAAGGGCAGTAGCAGAGAGAGGATTGAAACGTTATTTGAGCCCTTCCATGGTAAAAATAATTATTCAGAAGAATTGGCCGTAAAATGGGATTGGTAGCTCGTTCTTAGCATAGAGATGGGTTCTGGGTCTGATACTGGTGGGCGCTGGAGTGTTTTGGTGGATCTTAGGGTGATGATTGGAGACTGAGCTGCTTTTATGCTCCGTCACTAAGCCCCTGCCAGAATCCACTCTCCGTGTGTAACCAGGTGGGAAATCGAACATTTAACGCAAGCCCAGAAACTCGTTGTACATCGTCACACGTTGCCACGTACAGAAATTTAACCGAAAGGCAATATTTTCCTGAAAACCCCTCGTTGTGCGAAGATAACAGCTGCGCTGGTTGTCGCGGAGGAGAAGTATTGACACGATGATGATTTAGTAAAAATAATCTGGATTTATTGATAAGTAACAGATATTTATCGATACTAAATAATTCAGAAAGAGAAGTGATTTATTCACAGATTCTAAAATGAGAAGATTCAGTCTAACTTACTTAACGGTACCATAATTTATACATATATATACATGAACATAGACAAAACGGACATATACATACAGAAACAAAGGTGTTTGGATTCAGTAAAATGAATATAAAAGGGATAAACACACAGAGGAACAAGGGCAGGAGTACGTACCCACACACACCCCCCCCCAATAAAAAAGAGAAAAACTGGTGAAATAGAAGCGAGCTCAACGAAAAAATCCCTCTGGAGTTCAGGGCAAATACTCCCAATGCCTCGGCATTCCTCAACGGGTGATAATTGAGAGTCGAGTGGGTGGACTTGGCCCCGACCTTCCGTCTGGAGCAGACGACACCTGAAGGGTTTTGGTACCCGAGAGACTCCCAGCTCAGGGGAGATGCTGGTCACAGGCCCGCTGCCATCCGGGAGAGCTCAACGTGTCTCTCTGGTGGTCACAGTTTATAGGGTCTGAGATAATTGACTTTTATCAGATACCTTCCGGTGCCTTCCGCCAGTTGCACAAGAATTGGATGAACGTGCACCTCTTATTGTTTCATCTGCCCCCATCCCAGGTGTGTCAGGCCATCAGGAGGTGATGGGTTGTTATAACCCTGTCCGAGCAATCAGGAGGGGCAGGAGCCAGGCTCGTTTAGGTTATCAGTCCTTATCTCCGCAGGGGGATGCGGATGGAACCACACCCGGCACCAAGCAGCCCAACAAGGAGGGGCAGGGAGGGGTAAGAAAGGCACCACCACACCCGTGAAACCCTGAGAGGCGTTTTCTGGATTCGTTGCGGCGGGTGACTTGTCGCCGGGAGCAGGGCGAGGAGGTGGGAATGGGCTCTTTGCGGGGCAGGTGGAGGAGAAGAAGAGCTTGGGAGTAAATCCTGCACTAAGGCAAGACTCCAGAGGTGGCTTTAGGCAGGTTTGGAACCGTTTAGTTCCTTTTACAGCTGAGCTGAGCCCCAGGAAAACATGTCTCAGGGCCGGTGAGAGCACGCGTGATGTCCCCTGACCGGGCAGGGCATGCTGTGAACAAGGGGAAAAGGCTCCTTTCAACTTCCTTTATTCTGGAATTTGGTGTCTGTATCTTTGTTCCTCACAAAACATGAATTTTACTCCCTGTCGCCGCTTCCCAAGCCCCCAAGAGGAGCGATCTTAGTGAAACATCACCCAATTTTTCCGGGTGGCCTTCCATTGTAGATACATCTTCAATTCCCGCCCGGAGGCGGCGTATTTGCAGTTACGCAACTGCCAGATGCAAACGTCAGCAAGGTGGTAGCCCTTGAATTTAGGGGGAAAAAAAAAATCTTGAAAGTCAATTTATGAATCTAAACCTTTTGGAAGTGGTTGAGTAACCAACCATCAGCATCGTTTCTCTGTTGGTAATTGACCCCCACTTCGACACCCGGCGCACAACCGCACATAAAGATGTTTCTGTTTGTGTTTGCATTTTATATATATATATATATATTTTTTATAGAGTTATGTTTACAGAAGCAAAATAACATTTCATTCAGGAAAACGCCTTCCCCTCAGCAAAACCCCCGTGAAAAACAGGCACCGCTACCCCCTGCTGTCACCATCTGAAGCTGCCACGGCACAGAGTTACCAGCTCTGTTTAAATGCGCGGCGTAGACATTTGGACTGTCTTTCCTATTTAATAACTTGTAAGATTTCTCTGAAGTGTCGAGTTGGAGCATGGAGAAAATATTGCTTTCCATTTTTCTTTTTCCTTTTGACTGTTGACCAAATTATCTCCCCATTTTGAAACAAGTCTCTCTGGTCCTGGGAGGCAGTCAGGCTCCGTGTGGCTGTCTTTTAGAACATGCTGTAACTATCGTACAATAAATTACATGGCTGCACATAAATTGAATTTCCACGTTATTTGAAAATATCAGAAGTATTATGCAATCTGGCATTGTTAAAGAAGAAAAAGCTGATGAAAAAGGACAGCTGAAATTCATGTCTGTCAGTGCCTGTTTCTAAAAGTGCATTCATTTGCTCAGTAATCAGTTTAAAAGATCAACAGAACAAGTTCCAGCTTTTTTGAAATAATCATCCCGAATACATGGGCTGGATTTATACGAAGGGTTTTTTTTTTGTCCCCAGATTAACACACACACCCCCTTCTCTTTTTTTTTTTTTTTTTTTTTTTTTTCTGCCTTTATGGCATATAATTTCACTACAGTATTATCAGACTGGATTTAAATCCCTGCCTGCTTAAGCCACGTCTAATCTTTTCATACCACATGTGGAGACTTTGTGAGTTATTATTTTGGCTCCTCAAGATGCTGTTGAAGCAGCTTGGTAGTCGAGAATAAAGAAAGGCCTCTATTCTCGCAAAGGGGGATTGAAATTGTCCGTCCGAGCTTTGAAAGCGCTTCCCTGCTGTGGGACCAACTCACTCCTTTTCACAGCCCTTATGAATTAAACCTGGTTTCCTAATAAATCCCTGTCTGCCTGATGTGTGTATTAGTTGGGGAAAGAGAAGGTGAATAGGAAGGCACGTTGGAGCGCTCCGAGGAAACTTGACGGCGTCGCTCCAGGCTCATAGAGTCGCCTCTTATCATCTCCCTTCCAGTGAAACCCATTTAGTTTGGGCTGACATCTCAACTTCTACCCGAGCATCTTTAAGGGCTTTATAAGGAATAATTAATTACTGTATCCTTCGGAGGTAAGAAAGTATTATTATACCTCCTTAAGAGAAGCCCTGCTTTGTCCCTGTATGTCTCCCCTCTTCTGGGTTGGGCTGCGAGGAGCAAATTTCTGATGCCCCGTGGTGCCCCCCCCCCGAGGTGGGGAGGAGCTGGGCTGTTCACTCAGGGTCCTGAAAATGGAAATTCTGGAACAGAAACTGAGATTAGTCATGGATTTATGTAGTGAGGGCGGCATTTCGCCGCAGCTAGATGGTGATCTTGCTTGCATAGGAGTCTTGGGGTGACTTTGGTCCCTGAGAGCCACACCTACCTTAGATATTTTTCTAATTACATTCCATTCTCATTAGGGACCGGGGCATCTAACCGCAGAAATCAGTCCCTTTGTAATTTTGTTTTTATTTTATCACTGACTGGCTGCACCTGAGTTTTCTTGCCAAGGCAACCAGCAGCACGAACGACCATCAATATTTTGTTAAAGCAATTGCACCAGAAGCTCTTAAAGTTTTTGGGGGGTTTGGTGGTGTTTTGGTGTTTGTTTGGGTTTTTTTGTTGTTTTTTTTTTTTTCTACAAGTTTTTCAGAGGAGACAATATTCTTTGACGTTATTGTACGGGAAATGTTAAAAACACATAGGCAAGGTTTCAGCTGCCATCTCTTTAAACATCCATTTCTTATACAAATGTCAAAACCGCATAGAAAATTAAAAGGCCGTTAAAATTAATGCAATGAAATTTCCCATGAAAAAGCGGGGGAAGGCAGGGATGTCTTTAAAGCCCACGGAGATGACAATTTTGTCAAGCAGTAATCAGTTCCATATATGTTGAGCTGGGCAAATTAGGTGTGCAGAATAAACACGCGCTGGAGTAATTGAATTTTCCGAAGACTCGTATCAAACCCATCCAGTTTAGCCACCAGCGCAGAGGTGGTGTCACATTGTCACCCCCCTGGGGCTGGTGAAGGTCCCCCGGCAGGGCCAGACCTTGCCGCTGGTGGGGACTGAGTAGTTCAGAGGGCGCTAGTGTCACCTTTGCTCCCTACTCAGCTCTTCTGGGTACCAGTTTCAGTCACAAGGATGATGACAGCGTCACTAGAAACAGATATTAAATGATCTGACGATAGCCAGGGTCACGCTGGGGTGAGAGCCCTGAGATGAGTTTGAGCAGGTGACTTAGAAAACCTCCCACCAAGATGGGTTTGAGCAGGTTTAACAAACCAAAGAAATGAGAAACCCCTTTCTCCAGGACAAAACAGCCACTGATGCGGGCGGAGAAAAAAAAACCTGAGCTTGT